GACTTGAAGACTGTAAACGGGGTCGTGCATGCCACACACGCGGCCGCCGCCATTGCGTTGGGATTGTTGGAAGACGACGAAGGGTGGTGGGCGTGTATGACAGAATCAACTGCGTTATCTATACGTCACGATACTTTTGTTTTGCCATCCCGCGGACCCCGTGGATCTGTACTGGCGGTTCGAAGTCAACATGATTGGAAGACTTCAATCAGCGCTTCCAAAACGTCGACCGCGCGAGGGCGGCGTGTCTCAAAGCAATCGGAGACCTACTTCGTGCACGCGGAAAATCACTCGACGACTACGATCTACCCAATCCAGACGAAGATCTACTGGGACCGGATCAAGACAACCCAATGTTCTTTGCATTAGACGCGGCCGTTGTCTGGCAACAACGATTGCGCGACTTGAACGACGAACAGCGAACGGTATACGATCGAGTGATGGCGGCCGTCGACTACAACCACAACGTCCAGAAAATGTCCTACGTTGACGGGCCAGGAGGCACGGGAAAAACGACTGTATACGGATGCCTAATATCGTCGCTTCGTAACAAACAACGAACGGTGTTGAGCGTGGCATACACCGGCATCGCCGCATCCCTCATAGAGGGCGGCATGACTGTGCACCCGACTTTCAGATTGCAATTGGGAACGCTGACCGATCAGTCTACTTCGAGCATCAAGTTGCAGTCTTTGCGTGCGCAAAGGATACGCGAAGCTTCGCTGATTGTCTGGGACGAAGCGCCCATGTACCCGAGCATACAATTCACGGTGGTCGATCGCTTGCTCAAGGACATCATGGGATCGGCACTACCGTTTGGTGGTAACCCAATACTGTTATCTGGCGACTTCAGGCAGATATTTCCCATCGTTCGCCCCGGGGGAACAGGAGCTCCATCGTCATGTTATCTATCAAACAGCACTCATTATGGAGAGACTTTCAATAGTTTCGGCTGACGAGGAACATGTGCGCCAACAACGACGCCGACTTCGCTGCTTGGCTACTTCAGCTCGGTAACGGTCAACTGCCGTCGGTCGACGGTATTTCGAAATCCCACCGCAACTGGTTGGCGACGTTGTGGATTTGACCGATTTTGTCTATCCGCAGCAAATGTCGTTGGCCAACGTCGACGAGTTCCCTCGGAGAATCATACTGTGTCCCCGCAACGAGGAATACCACAAAATAAATTCCACAGTGCTACGAAATGACGTACTCCTCCATAGACACAGTGGTGATCGACGACGCCGACGAAGCAGCAAACTACCAGACAGAGTTCCTCAACGCTCTGCAACCAAACGGGCTACCGCCACACAAGTTGCCGCTCAAGGTCGGTTCGATCGTCATGTTGCTGAGAAACATTGATACGAACCGACAACTGTGCAACGGGACGAGGTTGGTGGTCACCGAACTGCGGCCACACAACTTCAAGGCGAGGAGGTTGTCCGGCGCCGACGACGCGCAGGACTACATAATTTAAAAAATATTAGTTTGTGTTTAAAAATTAGTCAATGAGTTCAAACTACAATCTTCAGATTCATAAACAGAAAAAACAACCATTGTGGGTTCAAACGAAAACGACCAGAATCTTAAACAGAAAAATAACTGACGATGATAAGCTCATTAAAGAATGATAATACAAAGGGTACCTGCAGGTAATCAATAAACAAGTCTGTCCAAAAAATTCAACCAGTCAAATTCCTAAAAAAAAAATTGAAGGGGAGTGTTGGCGCCCGCAGGCAAATGCATTTTAGAAAACCAAAAAAAATTTAGAAAAAATTATACAACCAGAACACATATCAATGAGTTCAAACTACAATCTTCAGATTCATAAACAGAAAAAACAACCATTGTGGGTTCAAACGAAAACGACCAGAATCTTAAACAGAAAAATAACTGACGATGATAAGCTCATTAAAAAATGATAATACAAAGGGCACCTGAAGGTAATCAATAAACATGTCTGTCCAAAAAATTCAACTAGAGTCAATTCCTAAAAAAAAATTGAAGGGGAGTGTTGGCGCCCGCAGGCAATTGCATTTTAGAAAACCAAAAAAAAAATTTAGAAAAAATTATACAGTAGGAGAACACATTAAAAAGTTCAAAATAAAATGTCCAGAATCTTAAACAGAAAAAACAAAATTGCCAATGTTTACCTCATTAAAAAATGATAATACAGAGGGCACCTGCACGTAATCAATAATCAAGTCCGTGCAAAAAATTCAACTAGGGTCAAATTCCTAAAAAAAAAATTGACACGTTTGACCGTGTCGGTTTGCTCCTGCCGTCTCCCGTCTTCAGCCACGGGCAGCTGTACGTTGCGTTTTCAAGAGTGAGGAACGCGCAATCCGTCAGAGTCGGCATGTACTGCGATGGAAATGGTCGATTCGTCACCAAGAATTTCGTGTGCGCAGAAGTTCTCTGATGCGATTACAGGTAGTTATATAATTAATGTAATTATACAATGTTCACCCGAGGGATCTATGAGATCCCCAAGGGATCTATGTGACCTCCCCCGGGGTCTTTGTGACCCCCCACGGTGTCTTTGTGACTCTGTGCTTAGAGAAAGTTTTACAAACTCCACGTGGTTTCTCTGGATGCGATTACACTTAACTGTGTATTCGTAACTAATGTCCAACGTTTGGTTAAAATTTAAAAAAAAAAATAACTAGGATACTTAATATTTTGTTTTTATATTATGTCTATATATCTATATTATAAAATTATATATATATCAATAACTTTTAAAAACAATTCATTCAATCTATAACAATTTAAATATGATTTTATTTGATTTATAACAATTCATTTGTATTCAATCTGTATTTATTTTTTGGTAGATTATATTATATTCATAATAACTAATATCAATTAAAATTTAGAAAAAAAAAGCTAAGGTACTTAGGATTTTGCTTTCATTTATATAATAAATAACTGTAAAAATAAAAAAAAAAAAAAAAAAAACTATAAATAACTATACACAATTTAATATGTACAGTTCTATAAATATGTAATGTTAGTAACAATTTAAATATGATTTTGTTTGATTTGTAACAATTAATTTGTATTCAAACTGTATTTATTTTTTTTATAAATTATATATATTATATATATACTACTAAGTACTAACTAATGTCAAACGTCCAGTTAAAATTTAGAAAAAAAAATAGCTTAATATATATACTTTAATATCACATTATTTTATTTGTAATAATGTTTTGTATATGTTACGTTTGCTTTTACGAACGACTTCAAAACGCAGTTTTACATGTAATAAATAAAATTTGATAAATTTGTACTATTTGAACAACTCATTAACTCTTTTTTTTACTTTCACCACTACTAAGATATCAGTAACATTTATATGTGTCAGATTGTATTTTTCTTAACACTGTTATGACCATAGACGCAATTGATAACATTTTCAAAATTTCATTGACTATTATTATGATATAGGTATTTAAGGTAAAATTAAGTTGTAGGAAAAGATGGAGGGGTGTCGGGCTCAGAGCCCCCCCTGATCACTTTAGTCTATACATCTATACATAAATCTAGCACACCCATACATTTAACCCAAATTGCGCCTATGGTTATGTTCTATGCTATACTTACTAACATTTATTTTTATGATTAATAAATACCTGTTCATTTATATGATATTAATAATATAAATAAAATAATTAATGATATAATAAATGATATGTATTATTATAGACCATTATGTCTGAATGAATATTATTAAACCTTTTACTAATTTATTTTTTTATTTTATTAGAATATTTACAATCTATGCTACAAGGCATAATAAGCAAATTTGAACACATACATAAAAACTTTTTACAACCTGAACACATGAGGAGGGAGGCCATCCAGATAGAACCCAAAGTTATTTGAATTATTTATTAATTATTAACTTAATTTAACTTAATATAAATTAAATTAAAATTAAATGGTATGAACCATCAATCATTTTATAAATAACGACACCAATTTCTCTTTACACGGCATGCTTTTATTATTAGATTAGATAAACTGTTGTGTGATTTAATAAATTTTTGAGCACAAACGTTTGGTTGCGATGTCCTAACGGTCAGTATCACCAATACTAAACTTGATATTCATTAGCATACCTACTTCACCATTTAAGTACACATACATTAGACATATAATATACGTTCTTCTGATATTTAAGGCTAGAAACTAACATACAAATAAAAAACAAATAAATGTGAAAAAAAATGGTTTTTATTCAGCTGAAAAACATAAAATAAATTAAATATAAACACAATTTGGTATGCAGTGAAGTTTCCAATTGAATACTTACAATCAGTGTATTTGTGATGTGTATCCGAATGATGTGAGTCCTACAAATTACATGATTGTTAAAATCAACACACAAATAATTTAAACTTGCGTTACTTACATCATTGGTGACGCCAACGTTGGCCACCATCCCAGTTAGCTCTTCAAGGTTGGCGTTACTACGAATCGATTCTTCCACCACCACCACCTGCTCCTCAACCACCTCCATTTGGTCATCTGGAGATGGTGATGGTGGATGAGTCACTCTACTAGGCTTGCGGGGGACTGAAAAAATAATAATTATCAAAACAAATACTTAACAATACACATGAAATGTACACACTCACCGAGACAATCCCGGGCAAGGTGCCCATAGCGGGAACACCTATAACAACCTGCAACACAAAATGGACGATACACCTATTATTAATGGCACTTATCGGAAATCGTAATTAGTATAAATCTACTCTTGGTCATTGTTATGGGAACACTGTACATATTATCAGTGACATTATGTATTAACCTCTTGCATGTAACTATAAAACATTATTATCATCATTGTATTGTAAACCGCATGCAGCATTATTTAATAAAGAATATAAAATGTTTAATTAAATAATTCTAATTAGTTCTTGACAATTATTAAATATAACATGGCGCAGTCGAAAAGGATAATATAATAGTTCAATTTCCTCATCACCATGAATCAATTACAGAAGCCAAAGGATCTATCATCGGGAAAGGATTGGACTAGATGGAAAAGTGTGTTTAATCTTTACTTGATAGGATCAGGTGCGATTAAACTAAAAGAAGAAGAAAAAATAGCAATTCTCTTACATTGTATTGGTGACGAAGGAAGAACAGTAAGCGAAACTTTTGAATTTACGGAAAAGGACAGGACATATGATACCTTAATTAAAAAATTTGATGAATACTATGTGCCAGCGCTAAATGAAATTGTAGAGACTTTCAAATTCAACAGTCGAGTTCAAGGTGCAGACGAAACATTTGAAAAATTTGAAACAGATCTACGACAATTAAGCAACAATTGCAATTTTGGTTCACTATCGTATTGTCGCAGGAGTAAAATGTAAAATTGTACAAGATCGACTATTAAGAACTCCAAATTTAATATTGAGTAAAGCATGTAAAATTGCTAAATCAGCGGAGCAAACAACAGAGCAAGCAGCAGCAATCAACAACGGACAAGCAACAGAGGTTCAAGCAGTTTTTCAACACCAGAAAACGAACAAAAAAGAACAAAAGCAGACTATATGTGGAAAGTGTGGAAAAATACATAACTTTAAAGAATGTCCGGCATATGGAAAGCAGTGTCACACATGCAAAGGTAATAATCATTTTAGCAACATGTGTTTTAAAAAAATAAATAACGGTAATCCAGCTTATGTAAAAAACAGATACGTGAGGAATAATAAAAATTATAGTGTAAAGAACAGTAAAGAAAGTGTATGAAATGAAGGAAGATGAAGTATTATTTTTAGGCAACATAAATGTAGATTGGATAGTAGATAGAGGTTGGTCTATAAACTGTATGATTGAAAATCAAGAGATACATTTTAAATAGATAGTGGTGCTCAGGTGAATGTGTTACCAAATCATGTTTATTTGAAGTTTGATAATAAACAAATGATAGAAAAAATTAAAATAAATTTGAGCAATTACAACGGAAGTTACATAAAAGTGTTAGGAAGGTGTAAACTAAAATGTCATTTTGAGAATGGTATGGTTGAATATATAGATTTTATAGAAGTAGATGAGCAAAGTCAACCAATTATTGGGTTTGAAACAATGATAAAATTAAATTTGGTTAAAAAACTATATGAAGTAAATGCAAACATAATGGATGATCCAAAATACAAATCAATAAGTGAGGGAATAGGACTCATGAAAGTAGAAGAGTATGATTTTAAAATACAACCTGGAGCTGTAGGGAATATTACGTATACAAGTAGAGTACCATTTACGGTTATAGATGAATTAAAAAGGGAGTTAGAATCAATTTTAAATATTGATATAATTACTAAAGAGGAAAAACCAACAGAAATGACTAAAGAAAAAACAGATAAAATAAATAAATTTTAAATATGTCAGAGTTTTCGAAAAAATAATAGTAAGGAACCAATGACAGTTAGAGATTTTGGAGATAACCCGTGGGAAATAGTAGGTACTGACATTTTTCAATATCAAAACAGGCAATATTTGTTAATTATTGACTACTTTAGTAAATATGTGGATATAGAAATACTTGAGGATATGAGCAGTGAAACAACAATTAATAAGTTAAAATTGATATTTTCAAGATATGGAATACCATTAGTTTTATTTTCTGATAATGGACCACAATTTTCTAATAGTAATTTTAAAAATTTTTCTAAGGAATGGGATTTTGAACACAAAACGTCAAACAGTTAAAAACATATTTAAAAAAGTTGTAGCAGATTATTAAGTTGTATATTTATTTAGCGATGTTAGAATTGAAAAATACACCCATTCTGAATGAAAATTACACACCAAATGAAATAATGTTCAATAGGAATGTGAGAGGGATTGTTCCTAAGATTTGGACAAGAAAAATTAACTATAACTCAGTTAAAAAGGCAGTAACTAGTAAACAAAAAATTGATAAAAATGCTAAAAAACTAACACCAATAAAGGAAGGTTATCATGTTTTTGTTTATATGGATAATAGGAACCATACATACATGGAAAAGTGATTTCGGTATGTAATAGACCAAATTCATTTGTCATTAAACTAAGTAATAGACAGACAGTTGAAAGAAACAGAAAACACCTAATATGGGATCCTGGATATGATTATGGTGATAGTAGTGAAACTGAAATAAGAATAAGAAAAACAGAAATAGAGGATCAAGAGACAAACAAAAGTGAAAAGAAATTAATTAAAGGAAACCAAAACAAAAGTGAAAAGGAATTAATTAGAGGAAATCAAAACAAAAGTAAAAAGGAAATAGTTAAAGGAACACAAACTAATAGTGGGAGGATAATAAAAAAACCTAAGCATTTAGAGGAATACAATAATAATATAAGAATTTAAGATTGTTTATTATTAAAAAAAAAAAAAAAAAAATGTTAATAGGTATAAGAAATTTAAGATAGTTTATTAAAAAAAAAAAAAAAAAATGTTAATAAGTATAAGAATTTAAGATTGTTTACTACCTATTAAAAAAAAAATGTTAATAGGTATAAGAATTTAAGATTGTTTATTAAAAAAAAAAAAAAATGTTAATATAAAAATTTAAGAATGTTAACTATGTTTAAAAAGGGGGATGTTATGGGAACACTGTACATACTATCAGTGACATTATGTATTAACCTCTTGCATGTAACTACAAAACAGTATTATCATCATTGTATTGTAAACCGCATGCAGCATTATTTAATAAAGAATATAAAATGTTTAATTAAATTATTCTAATTAGTTCTTGACAATTATTAAATATAACAGTCATCTTTTTCGGCCCCGCCTTAATTCCCCTATACCGGTTTCGGTTAGGGGGGTCTCGCTGCGGTGGTTGGTTCTGGTATACGGGTGCCGTAAACACCCGTACACCAGCACCGTTAAATGACATATTCACGGTTTGTATGAATTTCATTCTACATTTCAAAAACAAAACAAATTAAAAAAGTTACGGCACGGTTATTGAATATTGGTAGTGCGTTAACAAACACAATTATTTACTTTTAAAAAAATTAGTCATGTGCCAAAAACTTAATCAGAACACATGACATACAGTAATCATAGAATATTAGGTAAAGTTAATTCAACAAAATCTTAAGTTTTCAAACACATAATATTTTACAGACGTGCTGTGGTCCAGTTAGAGGATAGCCGCATAATATTATATTGTCTCCGTCTTACACACGTGCAACATTATCTATGTTCTCTCGATCGACTATTTACGATATTACTAATTTTAAGCGAGTTAGGACAGTTATGTCAAATATAAGACAATGATGCATAGATAATTTTCTTACCACATGACAATTCGATAATACCTAATAGGTAAATTCACTCGAAAATTACAACAAATAGCACACTATTAAAAGAAAATCATATTACACCCATGCAAATCAAATATAATAAAATGATAAAAATATTTAGTTATAAAAAAGTTACGAGACGGTTATTGAACATTGGTAGTCATGTGCTAAAAAGAAAATCGGAACACACGAGATATAGTAATCATAGAATATTAGGTAAAGTTAATTCAACAAAATCTTAAGTTTTCAAACACATAATATTTTACAGACGTGCTGTGGTCCAGTTAGAGGATAGCCGCATAATATTATGTTGTCTCCGTCTTACACACGTGCGATATAGTTAATTTTCGTTCGACGGTTTCAATAGTGTGCTATATATTAGTTTTACGGTGAACTCAACTATTATTATTATTAATTGAAAACTAATATAAGAAGATAATCTGTGTCCTCTCGATCGATTTTTTACAACATTTTCATTTTTAAACGAACTATGTGTATATGTAAAATATAAAATAATAATGCACAGATAATTTCCTAAAATATTTATAAAAACCAATTACGAACAGCTCACTATTTAATCTGGTCAACTAAAATTTACTACGGAATACGATTTACATTCATTCAAATGCACACGTGCCGATAGTCATACATTCAGGCATCACAAACAATTAAACGAAATTATTGTATAAAGGGGTGTTTAAATATTGATCGAGATACAATTAAATATATTCTATAAGTATTAAAAAGTGTTTGAGCATAAATCATTTTACTCAAGCAAGTTAAACTAACATGAAAAAAAAAACCGCGACACAAGGCCAGTATAAGAAGGTACTTATAATAAGCAATTAAATACGTTTACTTACTCGAACGGCGTCCAAATGTTAAATAAAATATATCCGACGTTCGTCACCGATCATACAGCCTTTCCCCAAAATATGGATTTCCCATCACTCCATTAAATTAGATGCGACATCGGTCGTATCGACAATTACCCGATAACGCGAAAGCTTCGTGTGGGCGAGATCGATAGTGACTACAGGTAGACAAACAGAGACCGTCACGAAACTAAGTTCATTTTGAATTTCGTTCATTTGACGTTTCGATGAGTTAGAAATTAGATGAACTAGGTAGTTCATATCGTATTGTCGTTCGTTCAGTAACCATTCGTTCAGTGAGTAATCGTTCAGTGACTAGTTCGTTCATGAACGGTACATCTCTAGTAAGTTGTAGAACTACGACAAAGTCGGATTGTTCATCATTCATATAGGTAGATGGTAGTCGAGTTTCACTTACGCTATGTCCTAGCTGGTTTGCACGCATGCGGGGAAAAACAAAATAGCTTGTATTTCGCCGCATGCGGGCAACGCATTGCGTGCAGAACAGCATGGTCAGTATATAAAACGCACGCACTCGCCCGCACTAGCTAGGACATAGGGTTAGGCTATAGCCGTTTAATGTCTGTAATACCTGCCCACCTGATTTTCTGTAGGTGGACAACTTCAAAGTTAATCGATTTTCACTTCAGAATTCAGGTTACCTACTGACTTGCTAGACACTCCAACACGGTTTTCGGCTTTACATCTTTACATTTACACATACGAAAAAGCACTGGACATTCGTTGGGGAATCGTATCATTGTATTACAAGCAGCAAAGGAAAGCACTGTCGGTGAAAATAACAGCTGCCAAAGATAGGAACTGGAGCGAACTATGCGGCCAGGTGGATGGTGACCCATGGGGCACCCCGTATAGAATAGTTATGAAGAGGCTGGCTCGTAGAAAGCCAATACCAGGACTCGAAATCCCGGGCCGTCTAGACTCGATAGTCGACACGCTCTTCCCGCGCAGACACGCAACCGGGAGAACGATTGCGACGGTCAGCGAAGAGGAGCTCCAACTCGCACTGTTCACAGAGACCGAAGTAAAAGCAGCAGCACGGGGCCTACCGAATGGGAAGGTACCCGGACCGGACGCAGTACCTAACGAAGTACTCAAGACGGCAGTGGGAGTGCATCCGTGGTACTTCAAGGAGGTCTTCAACGGATGCCTAAGAAGTGCCTGCTTCCCGCCGGAGTGGAAAACGGCAAGACTTGTGCTGCTACACAAGCCAGGTAGACCACTCGACAACCCGTCTGCATACAGACCCCTATGCATGCTGGATACGATGGGAAAGTTATTTGAGAAGCTGTTAGCGCAGCGACTTCGCGACCATCTAAGGAGAACGGGGAACCAACCGGAAAACCAGTACGGTTTCAAGGAGGGTAAATCGACACTGGATGCTACAAACCGCAATACGAAACGCAAACGGTCGTACCAGTGCGTACAATCGATACGTCGGCATGCTGATATTGGACGTCCAAAATGCGTTTAATAGCGCTTCCTGGCCTGCCATTATCAAGGCTTTGGAAAGAACTGACACCCCGAAGTACCTGCAGAACGTTCTCGGTCAGTACCTATCGGACAGGCGCATAATTGTAGAAAAGTCGGACGGCGCGCCAAGCGTCATTGAGATGAGCTGCGGAGTTCCACAGGGCTCGGTGCTGGGACCAGACCTGTGGAATCTAATGTATGACGGACTGCTGAGCATCGAACTACCCGTCGACACGGAGTTGATTGCATTCGCGGACGACGTGGCCATCGTATGCACGGCTCAGGTGCCCTGCATACTTGAGGAGAGACTCGGCAAGGCACTCCAGGATGTGGTGACCTGGATGACTGACAACGAACTACAACTCGCCCTGCACAAGACCGAAGCCATCGTCTTCACCAACAGGAATGTGCATAACACAATGACCGTGGAATTTCCGCCGCATAGTTTCGCGTCAAGCCGCTGTGTCAAGTACCTCGGGGTCCAGTTCGACCCAAGGCAGCGTTTCTTGGAACACGCCAAATTAGCGGCGAAAAGAGCGATGGAGGCGGGCTGGGTAGTCGAGTTTCACTTAGGCTATAGCCGTTTAATGTCTGTAATACCTGCCCAGCTGATTTTCTGTAGGTGGACAACTTCAAAGTTAATCGATTTTCACTTCAGAATTCAAGTTACCTACTGACTTGCTAGACACTCCAACACGGTTTTCGGCTTTACATCTTTACATTTACACATACGAAAAAGCACTGGACATTCGTTGGGGAATCGTATCATTGTATTGCCGACATTCATGGACCATGGGAGATTTCTAGACACTAAAACTCTACTTTTAAACTTTCCCGCCTTCGAAACGAGACCGTCAAAGGAGGCCTTATCAGAAATTCATATCACCAAATCACCTCTGACTACCAATCTATCACCTTCATTATAAGTGCGACTTTTATAATTCGACCGTGCCTCCGAAATCGGTACTCACTTCCGACTAAACTTGACTTTTTTTGCATTTTTTTTTTTACGTTATTTTTCATATAAATTAAATGATATACACTATACAGGAACAATGAACATATTAATATTTATTGGCTAATATTACATTATAATATGTGGCTGTACCTATAATATATGTTATTTAAATAATCGGGAATTTAACACATATTATTTTCTCTAAGTCATTGTTATATTATATCATACAATAAATACGAATTATATAATATGTTTTATTTTTCGTAAATTATTTCAAATGATGTGTGATTGGGTTTTTGTGAAAATACTATTTTTTCTCTTCAGTTATAGCATAGAATAATATAGAAGCGACACTCGCCCCTCCACTTTAATTGTTTTTATTTCGTGTCAGACTGATTGATGTTGTAAGCTTGGCGGTAAGGCATGATGTTAGGATCGCTTTTATCGCCGAAACAGAACGCTCGAGACCAGCCCGCCAAAGTTTAAAAAAAAGGTCACTTCATAGTACTATCTTAGATTAAATAACCATATAATATATATTTTATTGTACATAAGTACATAACTATATAATAATAATGTTATAATGACTATGTACCTATATTGTTTTATGATACTACCATACATATTATATAAACATATTTATAGAAAGCCATATTCGAGGCAAAAAAAAAAAACCATGAATACATTAAGAAAAAAGTAGTTTTTATGCAAAACCAGATTTCAACAAAAATCGGTTTTTTATCTAGTTCCCTGATATTTTTTTCTTCTAAGGGAGGCACTCAAAATCGTTTGACAGGAACGCCAAAGTAGTGCCTGTCTTTTTATGTTTATGGGTCAACCTGTTAACTAAAAAATGTAATGGTTTGTTTTGTCAACATTGCGGATTTCCGCTGTGGTTTCGACGACACACGTTTTGTACTCTGATCTGAACGGTTGTCTTTTACGCCTTTTGATTATATACACGTGTTTTTTTGCAATTTTTTCTAAACTTGTTTTTTTTTTTTTTGTAATTTTAAAAAATGCCCAACGTTTGTGTTATTTGCAAAAAGAAGGAAGGACAACACCAGGTGACTTTTCATCGTTTTCCTAAAGATGAAAACCTGTAAGTATATTTAAATTAGTTTAACTGCAGGCTAACTCCAGTGCTTGTTTTTTTTTTCAAAATATTTGTTATTTTCTGTTTCCCTTTTCATTAGTCTTTTTTTTATAAATATCAATAAAATTTTATTTGTTGGGTAAAAAAAAGTGAAAATTTAATGCAAGACTCCTGATATATTGTTACAATAGCAGTTAAAATATTAAAAATGCGTGAGCACTTTTTTTTTTAAAGATCGTATTTTGAAAAAAATTATCAAATTTAAAATTTAATAATTATTTTGTAGTTAAAAAATTATAAAATGTTTAGTTTTTATAGCTAAGGATTGAAAATTTAAAACAAGGTTCCACGTAATTTAGTAATTAGGTTATACCCACATAACATTAGATATTCATATGGTATTCCTCAAATATACCAAGTACTCTATAGATATCCAAGCACTACAAAGCATATATTTAAAATATACCAATTTGGATATAATTTAAAGAAGATGCTTATAATATTCTATACATATGTCTTACTATATATTCTTAATTTATAAATGTAATTAGTATTCGATATTACATATTCTTAGAATATTCGCACCATGATAAACATTGAATATTAGTAAAAGAATATATTCAATTGGATATATTCCATTCATATACTATTTTGGATGCCAAAATAATTTATTGAAAACTATGATTTCAGTATTGCAATATATAGTATAATATTATACAAAAACACTATAATAATGTGTAGCCAGGACGTAGTCTGTAGGTATAATATATAGCGTACCAATTATAGATAAGCTATGCACAATAATTTGTAAATAGGTACAACCGATGCAAGTGCTTATTTGTAAATTTGCCCTCACCATCGATAGTACATAGTTAATAATTGTAGTGAACCATTACTACAATACTCCCTCACTACGGTCCCCTGCTTGCTGCATTTAGCGTACTCTCCTTCGACCAGATCGCGAATCGCTCGCCTAGTCCTAAATCCTGATCCTCCGGACAAAACCACATTATATTTATATTTAGATATTATTATTCAATATCTATGGCCCTCACCCCGCCATCGTTGATGTCGACGACGATAATCCGACAATGCCGCTGCACGTCGACTCCCCGGCCCTTTCTTAGCCCGGCACGCGCCACACAATACACACACTGAGTACTGACGTCTAACAGTTGTAGTACAGACTGTACAGTACGTTATTGGTACCTACTTATAGTTATTACTTATTTTATGAATTTATGATTTAATATTTTAATAATTTATACAACATTACAACGGTCGTCACTCGCCACAAAATCGTCAACAATTTGTACCTACTTATAGAAATTCAGGTAAGAAGTCTTATTAATAAATAATATATTAATATTATACTATATTATTAGATACTAATATTATAATAACTATACTTTATAGGTACCTATAATAGGCTAAAAGTTACAAACCAGAACACATTGGTTTTAAGTGCTTATCATTTAATTTAATAACTATTAACTATGAAAAAGTGTTCAGTTTCTAAACGCCATTTCAACCGTGTAATTAAAAATCAATTAAACAATCTAGAATGCTCTGCTCAATCTGTTTTAAATCAAACACATTTTGTTGAATCAAGTGTAGTAAATTATGTAGAAGTTGGAGCAAATATTAATGCATCATCATCTGATATTATTTCAAATAATTCAGAAATATCTTCATCCATACCATTATTACATAATTATATAGACAATGAAAATGATAAATATATAAATACTGACCATTTACTTATTGACTCTGTTGTTAATATTCAGAATGATAAAATATCTATTTCGAATTCATCTTCATCTAGCGATGAAGAAACTTTTAGTAATGTTTTGGCTAATAATATTCAAAAAAGTTCTGAAAGTACTGAAAATATTTTTCAAGAGCTTCATAAATGGAGTATTGAATATAAAATTAATCATAATGCCCTGAAAAGTCTTTTAACTATTCTGAGGAAAACACTCACATTTAAAACTCTACCAAAGGATCCTAGAACGTTTTTAATGACACCAAAAATTACATTACTGCGAACTGTAACTCCAGGGTTGTATAATCATTTTGGTATCTTAAATAGCTTAAACAATATATTTAAAAATGAAGTCTCTGTTCCTTCGATAATTAAGGTATCTATTAATATTGATGGACTCCCTTTAAGTAAGTCTTCCAGTAGTCAGCTTTACCCTATCTTGGGCATTGTTAAAAATTATAAACCATTAGATAATATAGTTTTTCCGATTGGTATTTACCATGGCAATGAAAAGCCATCTTGTTTTAACAATTTTTTAGAAGATTTTGTAACTGAAGCTATTGGCTTATACAACAAAGACATAACTGTATGTGGAAAAAAAACACGTTTCGAAATACAAATGTTATTATTTGATGCAGTTGCAAAAGCAAGTGTGTTGCAGATTAAAGGTCATTCAGGTTACTCTTCATGCTCAAAGTGTACTGCTGAAGGAGAATATTTAAATGGTAGAATGTGTTTTCCTGATATCACTTTTATAGAAAGGACTGATAATGATTTTAAAAATCAAACTGATGAAAATCACCATGTTGGACAAACTATTCTTACTAGAATTCCTGGTTTAAATTTAGTATCGGATGTTCCTTTAGATTACATGCATCTTATTTTGCTAGGAGTTATGAAAAAACTGTTAGTTGGAACCTGGATTTTTGGAAAACCTCCTCATAAATTACCTTCACGAATAATTGATGAAATGTCTACACAATTAATATCATTGAAATCATATATTCCGTGTGAATTTTCTAAAAAGCCCAGATCATTAAAGGAAGCAAAACGCTTCAAAGCGACAGAATTTAGACTATTTCTTTTATATTTGGGACCAATAGTGCTTAAAGGTATATTAGATTCAACTAAATATGACCACTTCATTACACTTCATTATGCTATTTCTATTTTAGTAAGTAACAAAGCATTTGAATGTCAATATGTAGATTATGCAGAACAGTTATTAAAACATTTTGTTGTTAGTTGTCGTTTAATTTATAATGAAGAGTTTATGATACACAATATCCATAATCTTTTACATATAAGTAATGATGTCAGAAAATATGGGCCATTGGATGTGTTTAGTAATTTTCCTTTTGAAAATTTTCTGGGGCAGTTGAAAAAACTAGTAAGAAAGTCTTCTGATGTACTACCACAAATAGTACGCAGATTATCTGAAATACAACATTTATCATATGAAAATTTTAATAAAAATAATACACACATTTTAACGACATCTGAATTTGAACTATTAAAAATAAAACAAACCAATAACATTTTGGCTGAACACTGTTTTGGTCCCCAGTTTGAAGAGTTGATATTTCCTATGTACAAATTGACACTAGCAATTAATAATCGTTGTTGCAAATTGAAATGCAATACAATCATTGAAATCTTCAGTTTTGGTTATGAATCTCAATCTAAATTACCTATTGTTATCGGAAAAAAATATCTAAATGTCATAGACTTTTTTAAAAAACCAAATCATTCATCTTTAATTGGAATACATTTTGTGTCTGAATTGAACCAATATGATGAATTCTGGCATATTACTGAGATTTTAACTAAATTAGTTAGATTGCCATTAAATAATAAAGGATATGTAGTATTCCCTTTACTGCATATCTAAATTATGTAATAAAAATTAACCATATATTGTAATTATTTTATATAATTATCCTTGTTAATTGTTGTATATATTGTATATTATATTGTACTTATTGTACATATTGTAGTTGTATCATGGATGTACCTGGTTGGTATGTAGTCAAATTTGTGGAAGAAAACAGCGTAGAAGCAGTACCATGTAATTGGTTTAAAGATTACAACAATTGTTTTTGGCCTCCTTATAACAAAATAAAAACAGCTGAAGCTATTAAATGTAGAGAAAGTCCATCAAAATCATGGAAATTACATAAATTGAAAATTCTATCAAAAAAAAAAATTTGTGATTATTTTGTTGCTATGAATAAAGCTAATTATGCTCAATACGAATCCGATATTTCATCAGGAACAGAAAATATTATACCAAAAAATACAGCAGTTTTACCACTAAAACGCACAAGAAAACCAAACTTTAAATTGTTAGATGGAGATACTTCTAATGATAGTGAAGAAGAATGTGAAAGTAAAAAAATTAAAGTACCGTCTTTTCCAACATTTTCTCAAACTGGTACCTAATTTTAATTATATTAATATTTTTATTAAGTACATTCTTATAATTTACAGTCATAATTAATATTTCAGATCATTTATTAAACGAGACTGAAGAAATACTTGACATAGAGTTAAATGATGAACATGAAATGAGAGGAATAAATTTAGATTTAAATCTGTTAAATGATAATTTAATTGTTTGCAACCAAGAAGCTGTTGATTACCAAACTACTGATCATATTGATTCAATGGAAGAGCTTCAAAAATACATTGATACAAGTAATAAATCACATTGAAATATTTAACTAGTATTAAAAAATAATTTTTATATAGGTAAATTAGTATAATAGGCCTACTCCATTACTCCAATATTTATAATAAGATAAAAGAAAAGGTTTTTGTAAAATGATAACTTATTACTTTTAAATGCACGTTTTCAGAAATAAACTTATGATATAATGACTTAATGTGTACCTACATAATAATTTTTATTAATAAATGATAATTATAGTTACTTAATATTATTTTATGTTTTCTAGAATTTGAAACTTTAAGTAAAACCATTTTGAAGCAGCAAAAGGACACACAAAAAAGTAAGCATTATTTATCTATTTATTGAAATTTAGAGGATAAAATAAAGTTGTATCTAAGAAAATTTATAAAATTCTTATACCTACTATCAAATCAGTAAATTGATGACTCTTAGACAGAAAAATAATGAATTTAATAAATGAAACCTATTTAATAATCCCCTTAGGTACTTAATATTATTTGTATTTTCAGTAATTGACAAATGGCATCAAGATTCATCAAGGTTGCTTATAACAATGGGTCTACACCAAAAAGAACAATTAAATTACTTACAAAATATTCAAATGATGGTCAATAATATCAACACTATACCTACTGATATTGATAATTATACAGCCAAAAACAAAGAAGAAGATATCATATACTGTCAATTTCCTGCAACTTCTTTAGATGTTTTAAATAAATTAGATAACGAAGTAAAAATACTAAAATCTACGAAAATCGATACATATAATGCATTGGTGAGTTTTGCGTCATTTCATGGTATTTAATAAATATTAATTTATAGCTCAGTAACTTCTTATAATATTCTGTATTATGTAGTCTTAGCTATTTAATATTAGGTACGACTTGATCTATAATATGATACATTGCTACTAATTATTAATATTGCTGTAATATCAGAATGAATAGTGTTGTTTTAGTAGGAAACAAGGTGTTAAAATGTACAAATATAACAACAATTATACAATTTGTTTAAGGTGAAAAACATGTCACTTATTGGTGGAACATCTTTGGGAGAACTCTTAAGACGCATTCTTAAAAAAATTATGACTGATGAAGTGGCTGAAGAATTCAGTTGGTTTGGGCGACAAAAAAAATTTAGTTTTGCAACTACTGGATTAGCAGATTTGATAAAAAGTAACTTATTAATGCTCTTGTAAATTATGGTTGGTAAAAAATTCAGTTTTGAAAGCAAAACATATTTTTCTTAGGAATTTAAAAACAGCATTCAATATTAAATCAATAAATTGAAAATGTACAGTATTTAATTTAATTTTATGAATGATTAGGTTGTTTTTATTATTTGTTACACAGACAATTAGTATTTTTTTATTCAAACTTTGTACCAAAATGTATACATTATGCACAGTTTCATGATTTCATACAAATTAAGTAGTAAAAATATAATTGTAATTAAAGGTGCAGTTAAAATAAAATATAAAGATCAATCCGATAAAGAAATAGAAGTTATTGCTGGAACATGGTTAGCAAAGGCTAAAGAACGTAAAAAAAAAATAATCCCATCAACCAATGAAGATAGTACCAAATAATGTTTTTTATAACTAATTGCTCAATAAAAATAATGTAATTTTTTTTAATATGTATTGTTAATGGTAAACTTAAATTTCCACGCTTACCTTGTAATTGTTATTTTTTTTATAAATTTTTAAACCTTAATATATAATAATATTGTATGAAATTATATTATGTTTATTGATATTCGGTATAATATGTATTACCTACTTATTAAAGCTGATTTTATTTTTTTTTTCTATTTTTAAACTTTTGTATATATATTTATATTTATATTTATATTTATATATATTTATATTAACATATTATTATAATATAACCATTGATTTATATAATATAATAATACATATGCATTGTCAATGGTTAACTTAGTTTCAACACTGATTATTTTATTACTAATTTTATATAATTCAAACCTTATATACTTATAATATTGTATAAAATTACTTTTTTTTATTGATATTCGGTATAATATGTATTAGGTTATTACTTATTTAATATTTTAACCGATCATTTATTAAAGATTATTTTTTTCTATATATATTATAATATACAATGTTAATGGTTAGGTGACTTAAAGTTTCAATTCCAATTATTTTACTATACATTTTTTATAATTCAAATCTTATATACTTATAATTTTGTAGTAAATTATTAAAATTACTTTTTTTTAAATTGATATTAGGTATAATATGTATTAGATACTTGTATAAGATTAAAATATTATTAAGTATTGCTTTTTATGTATTGTTAAAACATAATATTATTATATAACCATTAATTTATATAATATAATAATACATGTGCATTGTTAATGGTTAACTTAGTATCAACACTAATTATTTTATTATTAATTTTTATAATTCAAACCTTATATACATATAATATTGTATAAAATTACTTTTTTTTTTATTGATATTCTGTATAATATATATTATTAGGTACCTACTTATTTAATATTTTAACCGATCATTTATTAAAGATTATATTTTTTTTTCTATTTTGAAATCTATGTTTAAATGTATAATATAACCATTGGTTCATATATTATAATTTACATTGTTAATGATTATTTAACTTAAAGTTTCAATTCTAATTATTTTATTATACATTTTTTTAAAATTCAAACCTTATATACTTATAATATTGTATAAAATTACTTTTTGTTAATTTATATTTGGTATATGTATCACAGAATAGGTATAATTATATATTATGAAATATGTATTAGGTACCTACTTGTATAAGATCAAAATATTATTATAATAAACTATAAGTATTGCTTTTTATGTATTATTAATGGGTAATTTAATAAAAAATTTTTACTGATATTTGATATATTATGCATTTTTCGTTCGATCATTTAATAAATAAAATATTATAAAACTTATTTACATTACACTATATAAATTATAAAGGTTAATTATAAATTATTTATTTATGTATGTTAGTTACAAATTTACAATTATAAAAGTTATATTGTTGCGGAAGACTGGCAGTATATTGTACCTATATACTTTAATGAACTAATTGTGTATTTCTTAGATATCTAATAATACCTTGACAGATATTTCATGAAAATGTTTTCTTGGATATCAAATGAATATCTGTGTGGATACCAATGCCATATTCCATGAATATTTTCCAATCGTTTCCTTAGATATCTATTGAATATGCTCATAGATTCTGTTAGCATATTCATAGTACATCTCAAGCGAGACATATTGATATTCTAATTATATCCTATTTATATATTTAGCCTATTGATGGATATACATGGAAAATATATAAATTCTAAATAGTATATTCATAACATTTGAAAAGAATATTGAATGCTATGTGGGACTTTACTCATAATAATATCATCAAATATACTTAGTATTATCATTATATCATAGACTGACTGACCGTGTGAGTGAAACGATGCATGTATTTTTTTGTATTTTATGTATTTTACAATGACGTGTATTTTTTTTGTGTCTGTCATCACGTTTTAGGACAGTAAAAGTGCTTGGATTTTCTTCAACAGTATCTTTTCTGATAGGAAAATGAATCTAGTTGGTACTTAGGGGGTCAAAAGTAAAAATTTCCCAGTAGTTTCAAAAGTGCCTCGAAAAACAAAAGAAAAATTAAGGAAAAACGGGAATTTTTACGCAAAATCTGTTTTCGAGAAAATCGATTTTGGTTTTTGGTGTGACTTTAAAACAAATGACCGTAGACACATGAAATTTTCACTGGTTTATATTTGCATTTTCTATACACGATAACATTTTCAAAATATTTTGATTTATTTTGAACTGTTTAGGGACATTTTTAGTTTTCAATTTTATTAGTTTTTTTTTTTTATGAATATCAATAAAAATTTATTTGTTGAGTAAAAATACTTGAAAATTTAATACAAGGCTCCTACTATATTAAAAATCATCCTTAGTCACAGTTTTTTTTTATAAGCATTTAAAGTCATTTAAAATCACGAAAATTAGCAAGTTATTTTGAGTTAAGGATTCGTAAAAATTTTTTTTTTTAAATCTAAGGTTTTAAAATATAATACAAGATTCCTTATAAGATTATCAGCCTTTATCAAAAAAAAAATGTCTATAAGAAAGTCCAATTAAATTTTTATGA